TGCAATCCTGTGTTCACATCAATGTAAAACCAGCTGGTTTTTTTTACTGGTTTTTGACATATTTCCCTTCTTCTTTTGATTGACAGGTGTTATTGAAGTTAACAGGAGGCGTTTTTGCATTGAAGTCAATGGGAGGCAGTTGTGGAGAGGGAGACCTGGCAAAATCGCACCTGAGTGAAATTGCAAAGAAAGTAGAATGGTATTCACAAAGAATTGCATTGATTTTTGCATGCATATGTGTGAACCCAGGCTAAAAGGTTAATTCATTTTCATGCTGATTCCATACAAAATCATTTGTTGTACTTACAAAAATAAACTCAACTTCCCAATCAAAAATAAAAGGCTAATTCAGTGTCATCCAATCCCCAACATGCATGTCACACACATAGTCACCACACCAGTATCAATAACTAAGGCCCCTTTCAGACATGGCGGATTCCGTTCCCCTGATGAATGGATGACACACATCCGTGTCTGCTCAGTTTCTGCATAGAGGACAGAGACTGCTCTGCTCTATGGGTATTCGGGAGTAAACTGACTCCACTATCTGTTTACACCCAGCTACCCTCTGATCCAATCCGACTAAACAGAAAAGGATGGATCCCCTTCCATTTCTATTAGTAGACCAGACCAAGGGGTAGGCAGATGTAAACTGGCAAAAGTCCAGTTACCCCCACCTGTGCATAGAGATGCATGGACCTTCTGATCAGGTCCACCTGAGAAACTGACAGGCAGGTCTGATTAGGTTGCCCATGTAAAAGGGGCCTTATAGTATACTAAATAAAGTGTGCCTGATGACCTTAGGTCAAGGATGCCAAGGAACTGAACTGACAACATGTAATTATAAAGCTGAATGTAATGCAATTTCAAAGCTATATATTGCTAAACATAGCCCATAATCAGCAGCAAGGAGGCAGCAGGCTAAGCATGTGCAAACAGTATAACAGACAGTGGCTTTATCAACAGACATACAGTGGATATAAAAAGTCTTCACACCTCTGTTACAATGTCAGGTTTCTGCAATGTAAAAAAAAATTAGACAAAGATAAATTATTTCAGAACTTTTTCCACCTTTAATGTGCCCTATAAACTGTACGATGCAATTGCAAAACAAACTGAAATATTTTGGGGGGGGGGGGGGGGAGTAAACATAAAAAACTAAAATAATGTGGTTGCATAAGTATGCACACCCTCTTATAACTGGGGATGTAGCTGTGTTCAGAATTAAGCAATCACATTCAAAATCATGTTACGTAGGAGTCAGTACACACCTGCCATCATTTAAAGTGCCTCTGATTAACCCCAAAATAAAATTCAGCTGTTCTAGTAGGTCTTTCCTAACATTTTCTTAGTTGCATCCTACAGCAAAACTCATGGTCCGCAGAGACCTTCCAAAGCATCAGAGAGATCTCATTGTTAAAAGGTATCAATCAGGAGAAGGGTACAAATTTCCAAGGCATTAGATATACCATGGAACACAGTGAAGACAGTCATTATCAAGTGGAGAAAATATGGTGCAACAGTGACACTACCAAGAACTGGACGTCCCTCCAAAAATTGATGAAAAGACGAGAAGAAAACTGGTCTGGGAGACTGCAATGAGGCCTACAGCAACATTAAAGGAGCTGCAGGAATATCTGACAAGTACTGGCTATGTGGTACATGTGACAACAATCTCCCGTATTCTTCATATGTCTGAGCTATGGGATAGAGTGGCAGGACGGAAGCCTTTTCTTATGAAGAAAAGCATGCAAGCCAAGCTAAATTTTGCAAAAAAACACATCTGAAGTCTCTCAAAAAATGTGGGAAAATGTGTTATGGTCTGATGAAACCAAGGTTGGACTTTTTGGTCATAATTCCAAAAGATATGTTTGGCACAAAAAAACAACACTGTACATCACCAAAAGAACACCATACCCACAGTGAAGCATGGTGGTGGCAGTATCATGCTTTGGGGCTGTTTTTCTTCAGCTGGAACTGGGGCCTTAGTCAAGGTAGAGGGAATTATGAATAGTTTGAAATGTCAGTCAATATTGGCACAAAACCTTTAGGCTTCTGCTAGAAAGTTGAACATGAAGAGGAACTTCATTTTTCAGCATGGCAACGACCCAAAGCATACAACCAAATCAACAAAGTAATGGCTTCACCAGAAGAAGTATAACGTTTTGGAATGGCCCAACCAGAGCCCAGACCTGAATCCGATCGAAAATCTGTGGGGTGATTTGAAGAGGGCTGTGCACAGGAGATGCCCTTGCAATCTGACAGATTTGGAGTGTTTTTGCAAGGAAGAGTGGGCAAATATTGCCAAGTCAAGATGTGCCATGCTGATAGACTCATACCCAAAAACACTGAGTGCTGGAATCAAATCAAAAGGAGCTTCAACAAAGTATTAGTTTACGGGTGTGCACACTTATGCAACCGTATTTTAGTTTTTAATTTTTACTTCCCTCCACCTAAAAGATTTCAGTTTGTTGTTCAACTGAGTTGTACAGTTTATAGGTCACACTAAAGGTGGAAAAAGTTCTGACATTATTTATCTTTGTCTAAATTTTACATCACAGAAACCTGACATTTTAACAGGGGTGTGTAGACTTTTTCTATCCACTGTATAAGTAAAGTAACAATGTGTGCACAGTGGATACAATGGCACCATAAGGCTGAATAAATGTTCTGGGATGAATATTGACAAGACTGTTCTGCTGTACAGCCAGATGACGTCATGTTACTGTATAGCTTTGCCTGCTCTCATAGACCCGCATGGATAACTGGCTATAATAAGCCTTGTGTTTAGTGTAATGCAAAGATATTGCTTGAAACTGCAGTTTTAATAACTGATACATTGTTGCCATCTGTGTCCCACTGGGGAGATTTTCCTTCACTTTTCAAACCGGAAGTGAGAGGAAATCTCTCCAAAGTTAGGGAATCCCTTGTGACCAGAACTAGTGTCCCCATTGGAAGGTTTCCTGTTTATTCCTGATCTAGCGACAACCCACAATTTTGGATTTTCTTTCACTTTCAGTGAATGGGACTAATGGAGAGTGGGAATCTCCCCAAAGGCAGCAGAGGCAGAAGCAGGGGCGGACTAACAACTCATGGGGCCCCTAGCAATAGGGGATCATGGGGCCCCTGTGTCCTTGCCCAAACTCAAAAAAGCCTATGAAAAAGGTACCAGGGGCATCTCCTGGGGCCCCCTACTGACCCGGGCCCTCGGGCAGTGCCCGAGTTTCCAAATGGTCAGTCCGCCCCTAGGCAGAAGTAAAAACTTGAAAGGTGTTCTAATCACTTTCCACTCCATCCAAATGCCTATGTGTTTACTTTAACCAGCTGCAGACTCTGGACATTCTACAAAAGCCAAAAAAAAGTCATCATGCCCTTTGCACGGCAATTCAGCTCTAAATAATGAGAGCTGCATTGCCGAATACACAGAGAATGTCCTGGCAACTAGAGCTGTAAAAAAAAAAGCAGTCTGACAATGTTTATCAACAACACTGCTCAACCACCAATAAAAAAAGATACAAAGAAACATTGTTTCATTTTTGTATCTTTCTGTTTATTCATTTACAGATCAAAGGGATGAACTTTGATCTATAGAGGAAGTCAGTTAAAGCAACCTGGCAAGTTAAAAAAAAGTGTTTGTTTTTTTTGTATGTTTGTTTTTCAATTAAATGTTTCTCTGTTTAAATCCTTAATATCCATTAGTTTATTTTAAGCCCAATAAAAAGGAATTATCCTTCTCCATTCAAATATAATTTCTCTACTGATATATTTTTTTTAATTAACCAATAATATTTAATTTTTTGTTTGCTTTGTTCATTAATATTTTTACACCTTTAACATATATATTTACACATAGACAACATTCATATGAAAGCGCTGCCCAAATACAATTGGTAAGAAATGGTATAAAACTAGAAAACCATTATACGTAAATTCAATAAATAAATAAAGTCCTTGATGTGAAAATAATTAATAGATTTGTGCATATGCTTCCTCCACAAATAATGGGTGATTCGTGCTCTGTGCTCCCCACCTGTGTGCCCACTAACTCACCAGCTATAATGAAACAAGAGTCATTTACGCTTTGGTGGGGCATGTGGAGTTCTGCCGAGTCTTGTAGTCTGCCTGGTTTGAATGATGCTTGTCATCCTCAATCATCCCAACATGGTAACATTATCTGGAGTATGTGCATGAAAAAGAATGGAAGAAGGCATCCAAATAGTGTGATTCTGTTTATTAAATAGAAGTAGATACACATATATTGTACATGTTTCCAGACTAAAAATAGCAGTAGCGCTGGCTTGGAAAGCAGTACACCACTTGTGCACTCTAAACACTGGTGGTGACGTCACCATGGTCTGTAGCTAACGCGTTTCGCCCCTCCCACTGTAAGTCCTCAGAGTCATGTCGAGTCTGGAGAAGTTTTAAGCCTTTCAACACCTCCCACTCAAGTCTATGGTGATGATCCACAAACGTGAAGGCAGGTGTTTGTGGGGCATTTGCAGTGCATTATTACCATTAGAGTTTATTATAGGTGTTTGTGGTGCAGTTATAGCGCTTGTAAAACACCTAACAAACGTGCATAGGGCATTTAGGCAGCATTTTTAATGCTTGTAAAATGCCCTTACTAAAGCTCATTAACTTCCCTAGCGGTCTGATTATGTCAGTATTTCTGTGCTCAAAGTGGTACATTTTTTTTTTGCATGCAAATATGTTGTTTTTTTTGTAGACCTGTAATTCTTAAGAATAACTCATTGAAATCAGACCAAATAAGAGTCTAATAAACATAACAGGTATGATAACATTTGAAACACAAACTCATAAATTATAATATAATAATCATAAAAAAATAATAATAATATAATAATACATTTAATTCAATAATGTAATCAAACCAAAAACACTGAAATTTGAAATAGAGCGCCAAGTTTGCACATCACTGAGCAAAGTCGCAAAATCGTTTTCAGTGTCTGATGACGAATTTCCCCACAAATCATTATCACTCACTTCTGCAAGTGGTTCTAATTTACTATCGCTGTTCTCTAGCTGGTCTAAAATCGCTTTTGACCTAAAGGGACGCTTTTTGGGCGCCATGGACGTTTCTCAGTTTCCAGGCAGAAAGAACAGTAAAAATGCAGGCAGGGCACAGGACAAAGCACTAGGGACAAAATGTATGTGAAATGGTTTGATACAGTAATATTTTACTATTTTGTAGTTTTTAGTGAATGTCACTTTTAAAATTTTTGAAATTCCCGCTGGTTCCATTCCCTGTACATCCCGACGCTTGCAGGGAACAGAACCCAGAAGACGGATGCTAGCATCAGCCAGAGGAGATGGCCAGGGACGCTGCAGGGGGGACATCGTGGGAGCGCAGGACAAGGTACTGTAAGTGCAGGAGGGATCCCAAAGCGACGCTGCAGGGTAATCCGGAGTGTAGCTCGGGGTTACTGCTTTTGGTACTGAAACTTTACCCCGAGCTACACTCGGGAATACCGCCAGGGGGGTTAATGCCTGTCTAATGCCCATACTAATGATATAGGGGCATTTTTGAAGAGTTAAAAATTTAGTCAAGTGTGAACAAGTCCTAAGGGTCCATGTACATTGGTCTTAAAAAATGTCAGTTCTTATGGCAGTAAAAAATGTTCACATAGAGCATTTTTTTTTGTACACGCGTTTAGGAGTGTTAAGTGTTGTTTCTGCCAGAAAACTGCTCTCAAATGCAAACCAGAAGTTTTTTTTTCTGCCTCTCAATGTTGAAACATGCTTAAACCATGCCTGTAAACATCCTAATTAATACCTTCTCTTTGAGTCCTCGTTGGCTCTTCTCTACCTTTAACTCTCTACTTTCTCCACCCCCACCCAGCGCCTCACTCACTGCCCACAACATTGCACACCACTTTCAAAACAAGATTGACGCAATTTGTAGGGACATCGCCACTACACAGACACCCACCCCACTTAGCATTCCTCACACCATACCTCCCTCAACACTTTCCTCCTTTGACCTTGCTACCACCGAAGAGGTCTTTAAGGTCTTCTCAGAAGCCCGCCTCACCACCTGCCCCCTAGACCCTGTCCCCTCACAACTCCTTCGATCACCCTCCTCTTCCATCCTACACTCCCTCACTCACATCTTCAACCTCTCCCTCTCTACAGGTGCATTCCCCTCCCCTATAAAGCACGCGCACATCACTCCCATACTTAAAAAACTCCCTAGACCCCACCAACCTGAACAACCTTAGACCCATCTCCCTGCTGCCATTTACCTCTAAACTCCTAGAATGCTTAGTCTACAATCGTCTGAGCTCCCACCTCACTGACAACAACCTTCTCGACCCCTTACAGTCTGGTTTTTGCCCCCTACACTCCACCGAAACTGCCCTACTAAAGCTCTCTAATGACGTACTAATTGCAAAAACCAACGGCCACTATTCAATACTCCTACTACTCGACCTCACCGTGGCTTTTGACATGGTTGACCATCCACTCCTCCTCAAAAAACTACACTCTTTTGGCCTCAGTGACTCCGCTCTCTCCTGGTTTTCCTCCTATCTATTGCAGAGCTCCTTCAGTGTTACCTATAACGCTGCCACCTCCTCCTCACTCCCTCTCTCTGTAGGGGTCCCCCAAGGTTCCGTCCTTGGACCCCTTCTCTTCTCCATCTACACCTCCTCCCTTGGTCACTTGATAAACTCCCACGGCTTCAATACCACCTCTATGCTGATGACACGCAAATCTGTCTACCCCTCACCTCACCCCTTCAGTTTCCACCCGCATCACTAGCCTACTAAGCGACATATCGGCTTGGATGTCACTCCACTTCCTCAAACTCAACCTTTCCAAAACTGAGCTCTTAGTATTCCCCCCTGCCTGCGCCACCCCCAAATGACTTCACCATAAATATCTCTACGCCATCCTCAGTCCACCCCCTCATGCCAGGGTACTAGGTGTAATCCTAGACTCCCATCTGTTCTTCCAGCCCCAGATCCATTCGCTGACAAAATCATGTAGACTTCACCTCTGCAACATCTCCAAGATACGACCGTTCCTAACCCCGGAAACCACTAAGCAGCTTATTCACTCCCTTGTCATATCTCGCCTCGACTACTGTAACTCCCTCCTCATTGGCCTACCTCATCGCAGGCTATCCCCCTCCAGTCTATCATGAACACTGCTGCCAGACTCATCCACCTCACTAACCGTTCCGTTATCCGCCTCCCCTCTCTGCCATTCCCTCCACTGGCTCCCAGTTGCCCAACGGATAAAATTCAAAACTCTAACAATGACATATAAAGCCATCCACAACACTGCCCCAATTTACATAACCGATCTTATCTCTAAATATCACTCAAACCGTACACTCTGCTCCTCGCAAGACCTCTTACTCTCTAGCTCCCTTATCTCCTCCTCCCATGCTCGTCTCCAAGACTTCTCCAGGGTGCCACCCATCCTCTGGAACTCCCTACCCCAATCTATCCGACTATCACCTACTCTACTTGCCTTTAGGCGATCACTGAAAACCTTTCTCTTCAGGGAAGCCTATCCTGCCCTCTGATAATTCTGGAATCCTCTACTCTTCCAACCACTCCATCCCCCACAGTGACTACCTACTTTACCATTCACACCTCCCTCCTAGATTGTAAGCTCCAAGGAGCAGGGCCCTCAAATCCCTCTTGTATTGAACTGTATTGTTACTGTATTGTCTCCTCCACTATAATGTAAAGCGCTGAGCAAACCCGTTTGCACTATATAAATCCTGTATAATAATAATAATCCTAATGAGCATGGACACATAAGAGAAAATTGAGCTGCTTGTACAGGCAAAACACATAACTCCTGTAGAAGCAGCGATTTTTAAACCCAGTGTGCAAAAAAAAATGTATATTTACTTTTTATATTTCTTCCCTTTGCTATGACTTCCTGTTCATGTATTCACATCCTTCATTCATGATGAGGGCCAACTCTAGCTAAGGGCTCGTGTACACCACAATTCTGTGTGTTGCAATTCACATGTCACTTGTGTTAAGCAGCTCATTCAATGTGAATGATTTGAAACACAAACAATGTTCACAAATATAAGGGGAAGCTGCATTTTCTAGCAAGGCACGAAATACCATGCATTGCACCACACACTTCCGTTTTGCAGGTCCGTTAGGGTGCCGGTCAAAAGGCATGGCAATGCAGTGCATACAATGCAATATTGGGCAAAGCAATGGAATGGTGTGAAGGCGCCCTAAAGCTAAATTCATACAGCATCACATTTCTAAGTGTTTTTTCAAGCATTTTTTCAAGTGTTTTTTAGCGTTTGGCTTTTTTTTTAGTAGAGTTGCACGTTTTTGGTGTTTTTTCAGGAGTTTTTCAACTAGGCATTTTTTATGTAGCCAATGGAAAGCTGAAAAAGGGGTGGAGAGTTACTGTCTGAGCTGAAAAAGCGCAACAAAATGCTCAAAAACACTCATGTCATGCTTTTCAGGCATTCCCATTGAAGCCTATAGAGAGAGAAAGCTGAACATGTTCTCCGCTAATCATCTCTGTTTCCTAAACCACTAATGACCTGAGATCAGCAATGATCCTCAGAATCTCCGCTGATCTCAGTTTCATAAAAAGACACCACAGTTACTAATAAATCTCAATGCAAACACATTTATTTTTTACTTTTTTCCAAGAAGTCATCTGACAACAACATTCTGGAAAGTGAGTCTGCCAGTGGGGCTGGCGGGCGTGAATTATTTTAGGACTGAACACACTTCAGAGCTAAGTGGGATGATGTCACTGCTTTGAGGATTAAAGCAGAGCTCTACCCAAAAGGGGAAAGTTCCGCTTTAAGTATTGGTCCTCTGCATTTCTTTTTCAATTACATTTCTCGCACAATTCTGCCATCACTGATTAGAAATTTGTTTGTTTTTCAAAAAATTTCCAACATGCCCAATCACTCAAATTCAATGGTCACTCAAAAATTGACCATAGCTGTGGCCCACTAGTATTTCAAACAAAAATTCTTAGGAAAGATTTTTGAAGGAAAATTCATTTGGAATTCGTTCCATGTATGGCCGGTTTAAGTCTCCCCCTATGTAGTGCTACCCTAGGCAGTGGCAGACTCAACAGGTTTGTCAGCTATATATACGTGATTTTGCATTTCCAGGGAGGGGGCTTGTGCGAGGCTCACGCATGCCCTACCCACGCCACCATTCACAGCTGCGACTGTCAATCACCGGGTCCCGGACGGTGATTGCCGAGCATCTCCGACAGGGAGGAGAACTGTATGTAAACAATATAGTTCTCCCTGTCAGCTCCTGCACACAGCTTTGGATGGCTGTGCAGTGTGATTACAGTGAAGCACAAACACAGAGCTTACTGTGAAACAGCACACAGTTAACCCTTTGATTGCCCCACATGTTAACCCCTTTCTGCACAGTGCCATTAGTACAGTGTCAGTGCTTTTTTTTTTTGCATTGATCACTGTATTGGTGTCACTGGGGATGTCAGTGACACCAAGTCAGTTCTTCCCAGTGTCAGAATGCCCGCTGCAGTCCCGCTATAAGTTGCTGATCGCCACCATTACTGGTAAAAATTAAAAAAAAAAAACCAGTATCTATACAGACATTTTTAAATGCTAAAACTTTCACATAAACCAATTAATTTACACACATATTGGGATTTTTTTTTTTAGCAATGATGGAGAAGAGTACAGTATTTTGGCCTAAATGTATGCTGAAATTTTTGAAATGTATGATTAAAATGTTTTTTACTGGACATATTTAATAGCAAAAAGTAAAAAATATTATTTTTTTTCTTAAAATTGTCAGTCTTATTTTTAGAGCGCAAAGAATAAAAAATGCACAGGTAAATCAAATACCACAAGAAAGCTCAATTCATGGGAAAAAAGGACATAAATTTGATTTGGGTGCAGCGCTGCATGACAGCGCAATTGTCAGTTAAAGTAACGCAGCAACATATCGCAAAAAAATGGCCTGGTCAGGAAGGGGGGTAAATCCTCTGGAGGGCAAGTGGTTAATTGCCCAGGTTCTGTGACTGATGAAAACGGAGCTCCAGTCAAAATAATAAAAAAAAGTCAGCAGCTACAAAAACTACAAAAAACAGACACTCGCTTGTCCCACGATCCAGCGGCGTCCTCACACTGGCCAGGTTTACTGGCACCCGGCTGTGACATCTTCACAGCCGGATGCCCACTGCACATGTGGGAGTAGCACTGCGCTTTGTGAATGGTCCTGTAGCCTTCTTGGACCTGTCATGTGTCCCAGAAAACTATGGAGGGGGGGACAACTTCTGCTCCCAATTGCTTAGGCGGGAGTGGGTACTTTTCAAATTTGGGCACCCCCTCCTCCCGAACCCAATCCC